AATTTAATGATCATTTTATTTATATAATTTTATTTCTTTTACATAAATTGGAGTTTCATTTATTATTATAATTATTATTTATAATTTCAAATATAATCAATACCAATTAGAAATTTATGTAAATTTATGTGTATTTTTTATTTTATTATAAAATTTGTTAACAGTAAAAAGATATTGATTTTTTTTAATCTATTATAGATATAGAATAATAAATATATTTTTTATTATAGAATCAATATATATTTATTATTTTATATCTATAATAGATTAAAAAAAAACAGTATTTTTTTATTGTTAACAAATTTTCATTAATCTTCATTAAAAATGCTTTCAAAATTATTGACAACAATAAATAGCCATTCATTTATTTTATTAGATATAATGAAAATGAAATTCATAATATGATTCTTTCATAAGTATATATTTTTCTTCGACTTATGTGATATATTAAAATCGAATGATATATCATGAAAATTTTTTATTATATGGCATATCATATAATAAGATGCAGAAATTCACTTCCAAATTGAACAAAATATAGTAATACAAGTTGCTTATATACAACAAAACAACAAAACTTATATTTATAAATATAATATAATAAATATAATTAAAAAATATATTTTTTATGCTTATAATTATATTTTATAATTATTGAAACTATTAATTAAAATTCATATGAAAAAATGAATTAAAAAAAATTATAATTTTTTTGCTCATAATTTTTTTTAATTACATAAATAATTGATAAATCTTTCATCAAACGATAGTTCTTTTTAAAATAATTTTCTTTTTTGAGAATTTTTTTTTTATCTCTTATAATTCGCGAATTGTAGTACAAAATCTGAAAATAGCCGAATTTTTATGAATTAATTTTTATTTAGAATAAATTTGGACAGCAAAAAAATTGTAATATATATCTTTAAAGTTTCAAAATTTTTTGAATTTGCAGATTGAAGATCTTTTCTTTATAAGTTTTCACGTTATATACGGAATATTAATATATTTTTATAATGTCTTTGAAAAATTCAAAATAAAAGTTAATAAGAGATTTATTTATTAATTGTTTCTTGCTTCATATAATTCAAATTTTATTTTTATTTTTAACTTAATAAATAAAATTCAATTTATATTGTATATTGTTTTGACTTTTAATCGTAATCGATATCGTAAAAATATAGTAGTATTACCATATATTACAATGAAATCTCTAATAATTTTCATTTAAATCCATAAGAAAGTAAATTTTCGATAATTTTACTTATTATACATATATATTATGTGTTTGTGTAAATAATTGATAATAATTATGGTAGTCATATATATATTATCATGGACGTATAGATAGAATTCAATAATATAGTATCAAAATAATTCGAAAAACCGATCTTCAATTATATATAAAGTATATACATATTATATATAATATAATATATTATAATATACATATAATATATATTATTAGTAACAAATTAATCGTTCGCAAATTTTTAGATTTTTTATCTTGGTCTTTATGCAAAGATATTCAAAAAAAACTTAATATTTATTAACTAATGTTATCTCTTATTTTTAATTCCAATTAATTCATCTTAGAGTAAAAAAAGTATAAATAAATTATTAAAGTTTGTTTCTTAATTTTTTTCAGTAAGTGTATATATTTCAAGTTCACTATAAGATCTGTAAAGAGAGACTTAATCAATAGATTGATTAAAAAAATTTTTCTTTGAATTTCGAGAGTTTTAAAAATTTCGAGAATTACAAGACATCATATTATTTAATTTTGTTATTTTATAAACTTCTTTCTAAAATTAAAATTAATATGTTTTTTTCATTTTTGTTGTTTAGGTCTATGAATTTTTGCTGTTTGCGGGATTGATGTTTATCGATGTGATAATTTTTGCTGTGATGGCGAAATTGTATAAATATGTAAATACTCCGAAAAATGAAGAAATAAGCGAAAATATTCAAATGGATGAAAAAGATGGAATAATTAATGAAGCCTTTAAAAACGATCAATAAACAATATAATTACATGATTGTACAGTTCATTACCTTACTTTTGTATAAATATGTTCATATTGTTTTAAAATAATTAAAATTCAAATTTAGTGTTGTAAATATTAGTTTGTTTTTTTAAATATACATCGATTGAAATTTAATAATTGAAAACAATATAGAATTATACCAATGTATCACTATAAGAAATATTTTTAATTGATTTTTTCAAAATATTTTTAAACAAAAAAAAAATTTAGCATACAAGTTTAATTTATTTTCTTCAAAATAGAAAAAACATTTATATAAAAGAATTAAATTTTTATACAAATTTTGCGTAAAATACAATTATTAAATTAATTCAAGAAATTTATATAAGTGAAAAAAGAAAAAAAATAGAAAATTATAATTTATAAAAACACAATGAAAATTTATATAATTTATAAAATAATATTTTAATTTGCCAAGTATTTTATTATAACTATGTTATTTTCTATAATATTTCTTGTCATGGAATATTAAATCCTAAAATAATATAACATTTTAATTGTTGTTAAATAACAATATGATAAATATTTATATCATATTTTATGAATGTAACATATCAAACTTGTAAATAGATATATCACTATGAATAAAAGTATACATATTTTTGTAAAAATGTAATCATTATTCGATAATAAATATCTACTATTTTACTTTTCTTTATGTTATTTTAAAATGATTATTTTGACTTAATAATTTTATATACATTGCATATATTATATTATATATATATTATTTTATTTTTCAATCTTTTACTTTAAATTAAATCAATGCATTCTATTTTCATTTCATAAAATTTGTCGTATAGATTAGAAAATGCAAATTCTTTATAAAATAAACAATTTATTTAGTAAAATAATAATACATCATTTATTATTTGTATTTTACATCATTTTTTTCAATTAATGGAAGAACGAAAATAATAATGATAACGATATATACTTATACGAAACATATCGCAAACATGAATTGCAATGTTCCCATTGCATCTATGCTAAAGTTCACAACACGTACAATCATGCTACAAATCACTATACAATAGTCTATTTGTACACAGATTGTCCTTTCATATAGTATCCTTTTCTATAAAATTTAACGAATTTATATAATCGACGATGCAGTGCTGTAAAGGCATTGAAGGCTAACAATAAATTCATGCTGTTGTGTCTTAATTCTCGATCTACGATCGATTATTATTAAATAGACGAGTCTTTAGGAGATTACTGTTTCGTCTTGTTATATAATATTTTCCACAGATATTCGACAATATAAATAGTAACTCTGAGTAAATTACATAGTCGGCGCTAATTACATGTAGTGCTTAAGTTTGTCAAAATAAATAATCATTTCTATATCTCATGTTGGGTATTAATATAGGCTCTTTTATCTTAAAATTGTTCCAAGATTAATAGTTATAGGTATCATAGAAAAATAAAATACATATTATTCTTGCATCAAGCCAATAAATTATATATATATATATATATATATATATATATATATATATATATATATATATT